GGAGGGAGGGAGGGAGAGGAACTTTCCTGCTGGTGAACTTTGCGGAGTCCAAGTTTTCCCGCGATCGCCGACACCGGATGCCTATTTAAAGAAACTTGGCCCGACCAATGTGATAAATTTCCGTCCGACGTTCTGTGACGCCTTCTTCCAACAGCCAACCTCCCCTCTCCCTGTTTTCAACGATAATAACGTCGGAGAAGTGTTTGTTTTTATCGTCGTTTCGATCGTGGAAAATTTGATAAAGAAAGGAACAGGTTTGGATGGATAAAGTGGTTTGTTGTGATATTCCATTAAATAGAGATCGATCTCGGTGATTATCATCGTTCTTTCGTTATTTAAGATAGATATTATTTCTAATGAAGATTTCTGAATTTAGATTGTATCATCGTACTTGTAAGTTCTGCTGTCTGTCTTGGTAACTTAATTAAGTATGATGGACGTTGGATTTTAGATGTTTAATTCGAAGGTTTAAATAAAGCTTCCACGTAACTTGATCTTCTCCAATCGACACCAATCTGATCGATTAATAATTATATTAATATCGAAGTTATTGCACATATATCAATATGAATCCGAATATAGGTTTGCTATATTTATACAGATAAATATAGATGTAAATGCACGAGCATTTAAAACTTGATCTTTTTCGTATTACAAAAAAAGATATTAATTAAATTTTACCTTTCTTGATGATACTTCAACATCTCGAGAATCTTTACGGAAATTATTCGAAAACCTCTGCGATCCCCATGCTTTTTTCCCTCTCAATCTCTCCAGAAGAAACCTCTCGATCACCGTTGTAAAATCCGAGTTACCATTCAGCGCAAACAACGCCAAGAAAGCGGCTCACCCCCGTCACACAGCCAAATACGCTTCGAGATCCCGCGACATGACATTAATACCTCTCCCAAAGGAAAGCAGACCGGGATCTTAATAGTGATATCGTGTAGCTCGTGCAGCGACATTACAGATCCCCCGCTTTGTGCCCCGGTGAAAAACGTATCTTTCTTCATCGTTCCGTCCTTCTTCCACCGCGATCGCGTCTTCGAGAATCCATTCCCGTAGCGGCAAAGACTTTCTGCACCGCTTACGCGGATGTTACCTCCACACCCACGTCTATATACCCCTCGCCCGCATATGTACCGCGATATCCACTCGTGTACACACGCGTGCAACTGGGGATCACGTACGTATACGTGAGCGCGAGAAGAGAGAGAGAGAGAGAGAGAGAGAGAGAAAAGCAGGTTGCCGCACGTTGTATATGTATATATATATATATATACGCGCATATCCAGCAATACGAGGAGCTCTAATCCCCTTTTAGAGACTCGGCTCATACCACGCATTGCGATATGCCTTTGACGGTCGCTCCTGCGACGCTATTGGCTCCGCGTAATCTCGTGTAAGTTGGGTTGCCTAGCCGCAGGATCCTTGGCTCCGGGGGCCCGTTCACACGTGTGCAAGCCCGGGACACGCACGCCCGGTCCTTTGCTCGCCCTTAACAGCCCTTCGACACGATCGATACGGCAGGTTCCTGTCGTACGCCGCGGCGCATGCCCTTCGTGGATGTCGAGGTTACAGTGGGAACCGGTAGAGAGCGCTCGTCTACGTTTCCGGAATGGAGAGACGGGATTGAATGAGAGAGAGTGTGTAAGGATGGGTGAGTGGTGCAAGGAGGCGAGAGAAATTGGTTTTCGTCGT